ATTAAAATCCAAAAGGATCCCTATGACTCCAAGGGTTACACACACACACACACTCAAGCAATTGCGTACTGACTCGATTGCGGTTTGCCACACACCAGCCTAAGTAAAACCTAAGGAGCCAGGTGTAAGTAAGGTGGTCGAAACATCTTCGAAACCTCAAAGGCCTCCATCTCCACTGTTGAGCATCTCAACCAAAGCGACAAATGCATGACTGCCGAGTGCATAACCGATGCAAAGGCTGGTAAGCTTGTTGTAGTTACAACGGGGCCCGAGAGGAAGTGAAGGGTAATCATTGCAGGTACGTCGACAGGACGTCTCCCGTCGATATCACAAGCGAGAGATAGGTGTCTTCGTTGGCACCTGTCCTAGTGCTGCTCCAGGTGCCCCCTGCTATTTATCAAGATACAACACGAAGCGAAGCTTCAAATCAATGGACTCCCTGTGAGTCCAAGGGGCTCACACACACACACACACGCCTCCCAATATGGGAGGCAGTTCTTTTCTAAGGGCGAGGCGCGCTGCGGTGAAGATGTGAGTTCAAGAAAAGGTGAAAAGTTCGGTCCGCTTAGGATAGGCAGTCGGAGGGATCGCGTCATCATGGAGACGAGGTGGTCGACGGAGAGGGCTCCGGGTAGGCGCGTGGGAGCGAGGGTATTCATCAATGCGTCCAATAGGGCGAACATGGCGGACGTTCACAAAGTGCATGACAAGAACTTCCAAAGAGAAGTTGCAGGGAGTCTCCCACACGCGAGAATCACCAGTAGAAGGCGAAGCCAGCCAAAAGGTAGCGCGGGGGATTCCAAGGCGGGAGTCGATCACATCCTTGAGATCATCGACGGTGTAGTCTTTGTCATCCAAAGTGGCCCCGGAGAGGGTGAACAGTTCAAAGGCTGGTGAACTAAGAGGCTCGTGTCCAACTCGATTTTTGGAACTTCAGAGAGGCTGCCAAATCGAAGTCGGGCGTCGTAAATGGTCCGGTAAAGTGGATCAGGTAGTCGAAGGCCAGGAGAGGCCATCGTCGCAGATGCGAGGCCAACGGAGGAAGGAGAGCTAAAGCCATCAACACAGTTAAAGCAAACACGCCTGCGGCAAAAGAGAAGGAAATTAATCAACGAAGGAAGTATCCAGTAAAGCGGTACAATGTCTGTGAGAAACTGGAGGGTAGAGAGAAGAGCAGAGCAATCAAGACAGTGTATCCGGCGCGGAAAAAGACGATAGTATGAAGGTAAGAAGATAACATACGGTCACGATTTTTTGGCATAGTCCGCAGCGCTGCAGACGGAAGAGTGAGACGAGGTGCTTCCCGCTTGGGGGTCAGAAGGTAAGTTAAGGTTCTGCCAAGTGAACATGTGCGCGCACAAAAGACAAACAGACGAAGACATGAGAAGAAGACGAGACAAGACGAGCGTGTGTGGTTGCGATGAAGGGGAACCAAGTGCCCTACACCGGGGCAACCGGTGAACCATACCTCATTATCAAGACCCGGGCGACCTGAAACCTAGATTAAATGTAGTTGCGCGCGAAGGGCCGGAAGGAGGAAACGGAGTGAGATGAGAGGACATGAAGGCGGAGAAGACATGAAAGAAGTGTATGAAGGAACGCAAAGTGAGTGTGTGTGTGTGAAGGGGAAAGGATGAAAGGGGAACCAAAGTGAGGGGCGGGAAAACAATGACGCCAAACCTCATTAAAGCGGACGTGGGGAAGGAAACCTAGCCTGGTCTTGGTATGTACGAGCTGTGTTGCACTTAAAGTCGGGACGCCCTAATCTTTGTTCAGCCTGCTCTTGTCCGGCGCCGTCAGGTCTTAATCAATGTTTGGCATAAGCCTCTTACGCCCGCATCATAGACAAACCTTTGATCAGCAAGGCCACAGGGACAGTTGGCGGGTACACCCCGGCTGGCTTGAAGCCAGAGACACACTTGGGATATCGCGGTACGGTATTGATTGACGGTTGGCCACTCGCCGACCTAAGTAAAAACCTCAGGGGCCAGGTAGAAACAAGAACATCGCTACGGGTTGGAGGCCATCGCTAGTAGGTTAGTTGCAAGCAGACAAGAGAGCGGTTGAACACCGCATCACAACCCGATTCACCAGGAAAGGTTGGTGGTCATGCCGTCGCATCTAGGGGCCAACGCAACAGGTTGGAGGCCACCGCTAGCAGGTTAGCTGCATATAAAGCACGCTGATAGAGTAGGTGGAAGTAGGGGTTACTTCCACACAGTGAGCGAGACAGATGAATCGCTCACTCTAGGAAAGTTAGACCACAATACTAAAGCCTCCTACCTGTTTGCGAGCGAGACAAGAATTGCTTTATAGGTAGTGGGTTTCCAAAGGCAGGTGCACATTCAGGCGTCCTCCACCAGTCTTCCGTAGCTTTGTCGGGCGCCGTGGGAAGACTGGCCGTTGCCCCCCCTGCTAGGGCTTCACGCGCACACAAAGTGTTCAATCTGGAAGACTTGGCGGCCTCATGCCCGAAGCTTTCAGTCAACCTCCGGCGCTGTCAGCTAAGGCCTTTGCCTTTCTGAGGAGTGACGGTTCTGTGATGACTTGGGGACACGACACTTGTGGGGGAAGCAGCCGAAGGGTGCAGCGCCAGCTCGTTGACGTTGAAGCAGCTGTGCATTTGCTCAAAATCTTTTTCTGTTTGTCCACCAAAAGCATCCACGATCAATGGGACACACGCGCAAACACACCAGTTCAAACAATGATATGAATGGAAAGACCCAAACACAGACATATCCATTATGTACGAACGCATGTCCTGATAGTGCCTGCTTCTCTGGTTGAATCTGTCGGTCATCAACTCGCAAGGATGTGGTGGGGAACAATTACGCCTTTGCAGCGCGCCGGTCAGATGGCCGTGTCGTCGCCTGGGGCGAAGGCTTGTGTGGTCCAGGACCGGTGTCCGTGCAATTGACCTCAGTGGTGCAGGTGGAAGCGACTGAGGCTGCCTTTGCGGCTTTGCGAGCCGATGGGCAGGTGGTTTGTTGGGGAACGATTCAGGACGTTGACCAGGAGGTGTTTGAAGTGAAGAAGCTCGTTGCCAGCTCCAAAGCATTTGCGGCTTTAAGAGCTGATGGGCGAGTGGTTTCTTGGGGGTTGAGGACCTCAGGGGGTGACAGCAGCCGTGTCCAAGAAAGGCTGATGGAGGTTCAAAAGATTTTTGCTGCAAGGAACAGCTTTGTTGCAGAGAGGAGGGATGGAAAAGCCGTCATTTGGGGCGAATTTGAGTTGGAGGAAGATGATCCAATTTTGGAAAGCATCACGGATATTCAGGACGGGCTGGGTGGCGCTTAAACAAGGTTTGCTGCGTCCACACACGCTTGCTTTGAGCCACTTACTATCTTCTGCGGGCAAAATTGGCTTTGTCAGCCAAGTGGATTTTGGGTGGGGAATTTTAACCCATGCTTCAGCATTGCAAACGGTTGCACGACCAAGTCGATGCTTGGGAACGGAAGTCGAGGTCGCTCCATGAAACAACCTGAAAATTTGAGATCATTTGAATTGCATCTTGGAACTAGTAGCAAGGTGCCTTACTAGTAGTAACAAGAAGCGACTAGTAACAAGACACCTTACTACTATATAGAAGTTACTAGAAGTAAGAAGCTACACATGGACTTCAGTTTGGACTCCTTGGATCTGGAATTCATTGTCGAACACGGGTGCTTTAGACAAGACTGGAATATAGTTGTGCCTGGGCCTTTGCAGATCTTCCAAATTTGCCAGCGGTGAAGTATCAGATTCTAGTCTTCCATCTTTCGAGAAAAATGCTTTGGGCCCAGAGAAGGCATGGGATGTTCCTCGATTGCCCAGAGTTTTCATTTCTTTTGGGGGGCGAAGGTCTAGTCAGACTCCAGAGTTCCGTGTCTGACTCCAGATGTTGCCATGTTCGCCCTTGGCCGACCCAGGAGGTTTCTTCCACAGGATTGGCTCTGGCTGTGCTTCGAAGGGATGGAGTTGTGGTGGTTCTGGGGAACTCTGATGGAGCCAAGAACGTGGTCGAGCCCCCAGAGCTTCTTGGCCTTTGGGGAGCCGAAATGAAGGTGTTGGGGCCACAGGCTATTAGGTTGGAGGCCATGGCTATATTAAATTGGAGACTATCGCTAGTAGGTTGGAGGCCATTACCATTATTAGGAACAAGAATTTACTAGATTGGAGGCCATCGCTAGTAGGTTGAAGGCCATTACCATTATTAGGAACAATAATTTACGAGATTGGAGGCCATTGCTAGTAGGTTGAAGGCCATTACTATTATTAGGAACAAGAAGCTACTGGGTTGGAGGCAATTTCTACTAGTAGCTAGAAGCTACTAGGTTGGAGGCCATTGCTGTAGCTTGGAGGCCATTACTATTATTAGGAACAAGACGCTACTAGGTTGGAGGCCATCGCCATTATAAGGTTGGAGGCCAGTACTATAATTAGGAACAAGACGCTATTTGGGTTTCAGGTCATCTCTACTAGTAGCTAGAAGCTACTAGGTTGGAGGCCATCGCTCGTAGGTTGGAGGCCATTACTATTATTAAGCTACTAGGTTGGAGGCCATCTCCAGCAGGTTGGAGGCCACGATTATTAGGAACAAGAAGCTACTAGGTTGGAGGCCATTTCTACTAGTAGCTAGAAGCTGCTAGGTTGGAGGCCATTTCTACTAGTAGCTAGAAGCTACTAGGTTGGAGGCCATCACCACTAGGTTGGAGGCCATTAAGATTATTAGGAAGAAGAAGCTGGCTGGAGGCCATTTCTACTAGTAGCTAAAAGCTACTAGGTTGGAGGCAATTTCTACTGGTAGCTAGAAGCTACTAGGTTGGAGGCCATTTCTATTAGTAGCTAGAAACTACTAGGTTGGAGGCCATTTCTACTAGTAGCTAGAAGCTACCAGGTTGGAGGCCATTTCTAGTAGTAGCTAGAAGCTACTAGGTTGGAGGCTGGAGGCCATTTCTACTAGTAGCAAGAAGCTACTAGGTTGGAGGCCATTTCTAGTAGTAGCTAGAAGCTACTAGGTTGGAGGCCATTTCTACTAGCAGGTAGAAGTTACTAGGTTGGAGGCCATTTCTACTAGAAATACTAGAAACTACTAGGTTGGAGGCCATTTCTACCAGTAGGTAGAAGCTACTAGGTTGGGCTAGAAGCTGCTAGGTTGGAGGGCATCATTTATACTATTACTGTTGTTCCTAGTAGCTGCGTGTTCCTAGTAGTTCGGCCAGGAGCCCCTAGTAGCGTCCTTGCTCCTAGTAGCGATGCCAGGAGCCCCTAGTAGCTTCTTGTTCCTAGTAGTACGGCCAGGAGTGCCTAGTAGTCCTAGCAGCGATGCCAGGAGCCCCTTAGTAGCTTCTTGTTGCTAGTAGTACGGCCAGGAGAGCGTCCTTGCTCCTAGTAGCAATGCCAGGAGCCGCTAGTAGCTTCTTGTTCCTAGTAGTACTGCCAGGAGCCCCTAGTAGCGTCCTTGCTCCTAGTAGCGATGCCAGTTCCTAGTAGTACGGCGGAGCCCCTAGTAGAGTCCTTGCTCCTGGTAGCGATGTGAGGAGCCCCTAGTAGCTTCTTGTGCCTAGTAGTGCCCCCAGAAGCGTGCCTGCCCCTAGTAGCGATGCCAGGAGCCCCTAGTAGCTTCTTGTACGTCCAGGAGCCCCTAGCAGCGTCCTGTTCCTAGTAGTACGGCCAGGAGCCCCTATGTTCCTTGTTCCTAGTAGCGATGCCAGGAGCCCCTAGTAGCTTCTTGTTCGTAGTAGTATGGCCAGGAGCTTTAAGTAGCATCCTGGCGCCTAGTAGCTAGCGTCCTTGCTCCTAGTAGCGATGCCAGGAGCCCCTAGTAGCGTCCTTGTTCCTATAGTAGCGATGCCAGGAGCCCCTAGTAGCGTCCTTGTTCCTAGTAGCGACGCCAGGAGCCCCTAGTAGCGTCCTTGTTCCTAGTAGAGATGCCAGGAGCCAGTAGCGTCCTTGTTCCTAGTAGCGATGCCAGGGGCCCCTAGTAGCGTCCTTGTTCCTAGTAGCCATGCCAGGAGCCCCTATAGTAGCGTCCTTGTTCCTAGTAGCGATGCCAGGAGCCCCTAGTAGCGTCCTTGCTCCTAGT